TTTACCCTACACGTGTCTTTCAAAAAATTATTAACAATTACTACAAATTATTTTGGATCGATTGAGAATCACGACGCATCAGCGAATACATTTTTCTCCATTACCTACAAAAAAACAGCAGAATAAGAATGAGAGGCAAACAGAGAGAAATGCAAAGCACTCATCATTATAGACCGATTCAGAGTAGACGTACAGTTACGATATTTGCAGCTGCGCGCGCATAGTGGTTGCAGAAAAACACTGGGAACAAGTGGAGGTAAATGGGTAAAATATTTTTGTGCCTTTTGATGTCAAGATCAGAATGCAAATAATTTTGATAGAATACTGTCGTCAAAGACGCCATTTGAAGCTAAACGCAGATGTTTAAATGGACATACTATGGATGAAAACTGTTATGATTACTTTACTTTTAAAGCATAAATTTGATTTAAACAATAGGTCTACATAATATTCACATATGCTGTTCATAGGGGACGAATTGTATTAGCCCTACAGTTACAGCATGAAATATTATTTAAACCTTACTATTAACATTTTTACATAACATTTATTTATTTTATCTCACAATTCTGACTTTTTTTTCTCGCAAATGCAAGTTTAAATTTCCTAATTCGAATTTTATAACTCGACTTAACTCAAAAATAGTGAGTTTGTCAATTCTGAGGGAAAAAGCCAGAAGAGCCGAGGGGAAAAAAGAGAATGATGAGTTGTTTTTCTTTATTAGAATTGTGAGATATAATCTCGGAATTGCGAGAAAAAAAGTCAGAATTTTGAAATATAAAATCAAATTGACCTTTTTTTATTCTTTTATTCCATGGCTCCATAGACTGCCACTTGAAAACCGTCATTTTCTGCCACCAGATAGGCTCCGCACACAAAAAAAAACGTCATCCCTTTTTCGGCTCTATAAGACTATCCCACTCTCTAACGTCAATTTCGTTGAATAACAGTGCTTATTGCTGGGTGACAAGCTCTTGTAATATGCGGAGAACATTTTGAAAATTACATCTAATCAATATAATCTATAGTCTTTTTAAACATAACTATTTTGTACCGTTTCCGTATAATTCTCTAGCGGTAAAGGCTATCTCTCCCGGGTTTTCTGCAACCATGATGCGCGCGCATCCTGAATGTTTACAAACCTATAATTGGTCTATTCTCTCAGCTCTAACTCTCCACATGTATCAATCTCCGCCTGTCTGCCAGTTCCTTTTATTCTGTCCCTGAAGAGGAGACGACCTTGACTCTTATGTCTCTTGGTGTGTGAAGTCAACAATGAGCCAGTAATTTTCTCAATATTATTCAGTTTGTACTGTTTCCCCTCTCGACATTTCAGTATATCTCTGTCTCTCCCTTTATGTCTCTTTCCAATTTTCATATTCTCAGGATTTTATTACCCGTACAAACTTTTATGAAATGCTCAAATTTTTTTCTCAGACCCTGGGAATAGGGGCACAGGGACGAGGTAGAGTGCTTTTGCATCTCTTCTGAGTTAATTGTTTCCAGAACAGTGCTTGCGTGAACTCATTTCTCAGGCACAGATGAGCTCGAGGGGCTTCTGCTTCCTGTTTCTGTTCACCTGTGCAGGACCTGTGTCAGCTCACAGACTGACCTGAGTAATAAATCTGCACTTCATAAAAGACTATAGGCTCTAGTTATAAACCGGTCAGTCACATTTCTGTCAATATTTGCATTAGCAGTCGAGTTTAATGTTCTTCTTCTTTTGTTATCTAAGTACATATTGTTATAGGATGTTAAAGGTGTACTTTTTAGCGATGCACCGATCCGATACTCCGTATCCGAGTATCCGTATCGGCTCTGATACTGCCATTTTCTGTCGGATTGGGTATCGGACAAGACCGATCCAAATCTGATATTGTGCGTATACTATTCTGTGTTATTATTAAGCCCCATGAAAGACACAAAAACATTATAAAGCACCATAAAGTTTATCTTGCTGGAGTTTAGTGCTGTTTCTAAAGCATATTCTACCGGGTGTCTGTTAGATTACAACACTGGAGTAGAGAGCACTATGAATTGTTTTCCACGTGCACAGTAACTGAAATTTCAAACTGTTAAAAGAAAAGACTCTATCACACATATAATACACTACGCATCAATATTTCTTCCCTTTGTGCTTTGAACTTTTCTATGCCACATTGCTTCAAGCGCATCATCCTGTGCACGGGATGTGCATAAGCGCTTTGTGCCGGCCTGTATTGGAGCCTTTCATGTTATAATACTTTTGTTAATAGCCTTTCTTGTTCTGTTCTGTCCTATCTATCATATGTTGCTGCCTCATTACTGTGCTATACATTTAAAAGAAATGTCTTTTAATTTTATAGTATATATTTATATATAAATAAATACATTTACTTGTTTTTCATAAATGTATTTTACAACAATACAAAGAGCAATGTGTAACATTTTCTTAATTTGTTATTTTTCTGTATAATGAAGTTGTCTATATTTAGTAGATTGTGTTTAACGTACAAAACAGTGATGATCAGGTTAACACACAGAGGTATAGAAATTCTATATTGATTAAAAAAAAACCTGTGCTGTATCAGATCATTATCGGTATCAGCCGATACTCAGAATATTTGGTATCGGATCGGTTCTGAAAACAAATGTTATTGTGCATCCCAAGTACTTTTGTAATTGTAATTAGTCATATTCAACCTCTGAAATATCCAATTGATGCAGTTTTTTTACTTTATTATATTTTCATTACTATATAGCCTAATTATTTTATTTTTGTATTTTGTAACCACCCAAAACACCCTAGCAACCACCTAGAATACCCTACCAACACCATAGCAACATCCCATCACCCTACCAACCACCAAGAATATCCTACTGACCCCACAGCAGTAACACCAAAATAACCACTTAGAATACCTGGCAATGCCCAAGTTATTATCTTTATTATACTTTTTGTTGTAATTATTTTTTATTTACTCATTTAAACATATTTTGAGAGTACACAACTCTATGAACAAACAGAAGCTGACATTCAGTAAGTAGAAAGAAAATGCTACTATTTGTATTTTTGTAAATTTTATTTATTTATTTTTTTTACGATTAAACAAGTTGGCTGTGTTCATGCAGTCAAAAGTTATGTATGTTTGGATGAATCCAATTCAATTTCAGATTCTGGCAAAATTTCAGATTCTGACCCTAAACTTTTAGTTCATGTATTCCAGACAAAACCTCAACATAAGCGCAGTTGCCATGTTCAGAACCAGATAAAACCAAAGTGAATGTTACCGGAGCTACTGCAAGTATAACTGTACTTTTTATCGTGATGACATATCTAAAAAGACAGCTGACATATACATCAAAATAACTTTTTTTTAGCAAATATTTAGTAAGCATTCAGTCTCCATTTACCAGTTTGTAACATAAGACTTACTTAAACATACGCATGTTCATAAGACATAAAACGTTTGAAAACATACACACCACAGCACTCCGCATGTACACAAATTGAAAACTGTCAAATTCAAGCATTTCTGTGCTTAAATTCTTTCCTATTGATCACATTATTTCAGGTGTGCACCACCCATTCCAATCCCATTATAATTTCATTCAGATCGATTGATTGAGGTGTTTGTTTACATAAAGAATTTTCAGTCCCATTACTAATGAATTATTTGGTTGCATCTAAACTTAGCTAATGTTTGAGATATATTCAGTTTTTATATCAGGTGTGACTCTCAAATAGTATAGTATATTTAAAGGGTGACAAGAATGGATAAAATCACGTCTGCATAGACAGGCATCAGAGACAATCTTCTTCTCCAACTCATTTAATAATGCATGTTACCACAGAGAAAGAAAACCAGATACCTGTAGCAAATATCAAAACTAATTTTGTCTTCACGGATTTGATTCTTATTCTCAACTGTTTGGCATTTCAAAACACTGGTTCCAATCCTTTCCAAACTCCCCAGCCTCACAATATTTTTCATTTTTCATAACCTGAGAGAGGTTTGTAGCACTCACATTAGTGATAGACAGGAATGAAATTATGTAACATGTACTGCATATCAATGACGTGATGACAGCAGGTCTATTCATAAAGCACATTATCAACTGAACTTACTCTCAAAAATCTCTCAAACAACTGCTTAATAGGTACGTTTACCCTACTTATTATGGAAATAACTTTAAAAGAATAAACCGAATGCAATGTTTTCAGACACTTAACTGCATGTCATAAATGAAAATGTATTATAGTTTACATTTATATGAAATGCAATTAAGTAAACTTACGAGTGTTTATGACCCACTAAAGTAAGACTTTCATAATTAATTATATTGTGTTTTTTAGATTGCTTCTATGGTCTTTTTTGATTATATATTTTGTAATTACACATATTTTGTAATGATTAAGTCATAATTTAGTACATTTAAACTGATTTACTTTCAATTTTATATCAAATAACACACCACAGTTAACACATTACAGAATTATAATCAAGTACTTTAGTGTTCAACACTTCAAAATAATTGTACTTTAAAGCACAACAAAAGATTATTAAAACATAATGATTTAAAATGTACTTTAAAATTAAACATTTAATTTGACATTATTACAAAGTGCATGAAAGTGTACTCTCTTTAAGTGGCCTTTTACTTCATTAATACTATATTCTCTGCTTTTAAGTTTTTAAAAAATATATATTTTTAAGTTTCAAACACTCCAATTGTGCATTCAGTACAATTAAGCACACTTCTTTTTCACAAGGGTGTGTATCGTTCCAAATGGGATTGGCAACTGTATTACGCTGCTGTGTGAACATAGTTGTTTTTTTAGTGGAATGTGCTACAGTAAATGACAAGTCCAAGCCAGAAAAAATTAGATCGGTTCTTCAAACCAATGACAGCCAGACAATGTGAGCAAGAGCTTTTTCATTTGACATATGTGACATCTAACATCAGCCTGCCATTAGTACTTGACATCGTTTTCCCACCCCATCGCATGTCACACTTACCACGGGCTTTCTGGCTGATGTCCCGGAGAAGCACTTCATAACGGATGGGTTCATCATCTTCATTAAACACCATGTCATCTGCTGTGATGTTGTCCTCGCGCATCTGTGTGTACGGCCCCTCCACGGCAAAGTAGCACGGGCGATCGTCGTTCTTATTATCGCTAAACATGAGCATGGCGTGTTTGTGCCAACCGAAATGCCGGTGCATCCTGACCACAAACTCGCCCAGCTTCTTGTGCGTGGGGCCGATGTTGGTGATGGAAGAGTACAAATTGAAACCCAGTGCTCTCGCCCCACCTGTGATCATCGGAACCTCCCAATGTGTGGTGAAACGGGCCACAGGTGAGGAAGAGTAGTCACAACCCGGCCCGATGAAAGCCCAGGGGTTATATGAGAACTTCAGGTCCACGGCCACGAGAGGAGCCACTGAATCCGAACACACTCCTTCCTTGTTTTCGCTGCTGTTGAAGACCAGTTGTAGATGGTAGCCTGGCAGCAGGTTGGGGTCAGAGTTCACCTTGTCCAGGGCCCAGTGCAAGGCAGGGCCAACCCGGGGCCATGCCCAGGGGTACTCTGTGTTGTGTAGAGGCAGGATGACTGCCAGGGTGATGTTCTGTTGAGGTGGATGGGGATGGAGTGACTGAGGCTGCTTTTGAGCGAGCGGCTCCAGTTCAACCACTCCAAATGACACACCGCTCAGCAGAACTAGAAGAGTGAGCCTCAGCGGCCCCATCCGGAAAACTTCCATTCTCAAAATGGATGGGTAGGACTAAGACTCTGAAAACATCAAAACAGAGACCCACTTGAGACTGGAAATGCCCACCATTCACAGTTATTGTCGACAGAAATGAAACAAGAAACTGTATACAACTAAAAATGGCTACAACAATAAGCAGTGTTAGAGTTTCTTCAGTGCAAAAGATTCTTCAGATAATTAAAAAGTTATTCACTCTAAGAAAAAGTTGTTCTCTTGAGAAATGAGAGATGCATGATAGCATAACTGAGAAGACTACGCTGTGTAATAGTGTAAATGATTATTTCACAGCAAAGTTCTCAATTGCGTTCGCATATGACCCGTTCTGGCGTTCAACAACATCTGGACGGAGCGCTCACTACCGAATGAAACTAAACCACGGGGTCTGGAGTCACGTTTTTAAAAGTGTAACTTTTCACTTTACACACCTTAAAAAGCAAAAATGGAAGAAGAAGAAAACGTTGGACTTCTTAAACGTAACGCAAGTGTATAGAGAACAACATTTACCAGCGTAGTCGACCGGGACGCAAGAGCGCACTCTCACTTCAACCTAATATATTAAAACACACTTTTGATATAAAACATAACTGTCAACAGTTGAAAACAATAAAATTAATTTAAATAATATTTTACCACAGATCAGGTCGTCATTTGGTGTCATAATCCCTCTGTAATCCTTGCCTTCCTCTGTAAATTAAAACCCGCGTCTTGTGAATGCAGCGCGCATCTCTCGGAGCAAACGCGTCGATTTTTTTCAGCTCAAACCGACTCATCCAATTTACAGGAGTGAAACTTTAGTGTCTTGACCCTCTCCACAGAAACCAGCATGATTTCTCAAGCTCCCTTCTTTCTCCGAACGTGCCGAGGAAACGGGATTCGTAAAGAGGAACTCTTTCCCTTTCCTGGTGCGCATGTGAATTTCTTGGAAACTTTGTTAATGAGTATCGAGGCTTCTTTAGTTAAAAATTATTGAACGTGTCCTCTTCTCCTTGCTGTTTTCCCGACTGGAGAAGATGGGCAAATCTCAGCGGGTGTGGATTTGATGCAGTATGCGCACGGTGGCACAACAAAAGTGAAATCAACGTAAAAATTACGTTCACGTTTGCATCTACAAAACTCGAATCTTCATGAGGAAAAACGCAAAGATTTGATCAAATAAAATGAAACGTGTGGGTTTATTGTGAGGCACAGTCTGTGTTTGAAGGCTGTTCTCCCCTCAGGCTCATCCACTGAGTGTTGGGTCAGTCAAAGCATCGTGAAGCTCAAGGTGGGAGGAGGAGAGAACTGAGAGAGGGAATGACACAGTGTGCGAGTCTAAGTGCAGGCGGGAGAGGAGGATGAGGAGGAGGAGGAGGAGAAAGAGAGGTGTAGAAAGAATGTTTACAGCACTGTTGCGCAGCCATGTGGCATCATTACCCCATTCTGTCATCAGAACCTCAGATAGATAGATAGATAGATAGATAGATAGATAGATAGATAGATAGATAGATAGATAGATAGATAAAACGTTAGAACATTCATTCTCAATTTATTCTTAATTTTTTAAAAATGTACAGTTTTGCTTTTATACATTTGCTTACCCCAATATTTAATAAATGGTTACAACCATATAATTTTATGGTCATATATATTGTGTGTGTGTGTGCGTTTTAAATGAATATTTACTGATTAGGATATTTGTGGCCCAGCAATTGTGAATTAATCATTTGTTTAGGAATTACATTGCTGCTTGACATATGTTTGTTGTATAGCTACAAGATCACTGTGCCCTACACAGTATGAGTATGAGCAGCCACTTTATCATTGTGTAACAATAACTTGACCTCTTGCATGCACACAGGAAAAACAGTTTGCTGGATAGATGAGAAAGCAAGACTTGTTGTGTTGTCCCTGCCACTGTGCTAGTGTTTGGTGAGAGGCGAGGTGAGGTGGGGTCCCTCTTGACCTCCGGCATTTTAATCACATGCCTTTCTTCCTCCTCATTGTTCCAGATTTTTCGACCACTTCCTCCCAATTAAAACATGCTATTTTTGTGTAGTCCGTTGCACTTTTATTGGCTTCTCCGTCCTTTCCTCTGCTCTGTTCTCTTCTTCGTTTGGCCTTCTGCGGGAGCGTCTCATCTGGCACGTCCTCAGCAGTACTCACCCTGACAAACAACTTCCAGATCAATAAAGTACAGGGAGGACTTCAGCTGCTGGCTTCCCGTACACAGAGCACACCAGGAAAGACATGCTGCGCGCCAGGCCAGCACCTCCCGGTTATGGCTGGTCGTAAATAAGAAGCATAGGGAGGGCTGGACAGCTGATCAATTGTGAGCCACTTTCACTTTCCCCGCCTCCAGGAGGGCCGATTTGTTACTTTTAAACTTCCGCCACCGTCCTTGTGACATAGCCGACCAAATGCCCTTCCATTCATTCCCTGATTGCCCATGCTGCCATGTTGCCCCCTCGCACCTTTGACCTCATCCGGTCAACCACACACACACATACCAGTGGCTAGAGTTTCCAAAACAGGATATGTTGCACCCTTACTCATTCTGTCATTCGCTCTTTCTCTGACAATGCTCGATTACTACCATGCTACTCTTGCTATTTCTGCAATATATACAGTATGTGCAGTATAAAATTCCCTTGTGCTTGTAATACCTGTGCCTATTACCAAAATGTATAGTACATCAGAGCACACTTACTTCACGAAAGAACCGGAAGTTGCATCAGCAGAAATTCAAAAGTTACAACATTTGTGGCTATAGATTAAACATATATATATATATATTTTTTCCCCCCAAAGATGAACAGTTGATTACACTCGGTACATAATAAAATGATAACATATGTATCACGTCTCATCTCATGGGTGAAAAACGTCAGAAATTCTGGTAAAATAATAAGCTATTTTATATATGATTTAATTTTTTACTAGACAGACAGACAGACAGACAGATAGATAGATAGATAGATAGATAGATAGATAGATAGATAGATAGATAGATCTCCACAAATTACGAAGGTGGCCGTTTTTGCTTTCAAAACAGTAATTTTAGTCTAAAAGGTGAGCAGTTTACATCTCTTTTTTAAAATGTTTATGCATAATGCATTAGCTTTCACATACTAAATTTAAAAACTATTAGGCAGTGTGCAGTATATACTGCACAGTACGCAGGAGGCCATTTAGAACACAGCCTCTCTCTTTTTAGCATTTCCAGGGTTGTTATTACAGGTAACCTCCTCTCGTCTCTTCCCTCTCCTCCCCCTTTCCTACGCTCTTCTGTATTACTCACTCAAACTTAGTTCAACCTCCAATAAATCCACATTCAAAGTTCTCTTCTTTGTAACAAACAAACAAACACAAGTGAGCTTTACCAGTGAAGTATACAATCACTATATGGTAAAAACGGAACAGCCTACACACATTCCTGTGCGCGCAAAAATACGCACAAACTGTTCTTGCTTGTTTTGTTTTATCTCTTCCCTCTCCTCCCCCTTTCCTACGCTCTTCTGTATTACTCACTCAAACTTAGTTCAACCTCCAATAAATCCACATTCAAAGTTCTCTTCTTTGTAACAAACAAACACAAGTGAGCTTTACCAGTGACGTATACAATCACTATATGGTAAAAACGGAACAGCCTACACACATTCCTGTGCGCGCAAAAATACGCACAAACTGTTCTTGCTTGTTTTGTTTTGGTCTGAATTCTTCCATGGCCTAATGAAACTGCTTCCTCCCTCTGTTTCCAGGATGTTTGATGTTTGGAGTGATCTCTCATCCTTTTTAGTGCTCTTTGGTCACTGGCTTCTAAACCTCACGACGCGGCGAGAAGAGGTCCGGAATCACGGTGCGGAAATGAACAAGGAGGACGTGCCTTTGTGTGAGAGTGTGTCAAGTGTCTTGATCTTAATAGCTGTGTAAACATTTCATTCGCATCTAATCTCTCGTCTGGATCAAAATGTGGTCTGATGCATTACCTCAGCACGAATAAGTCAGGCCCATAATGACGCTTTGCATCTGCTCAGTAGTGACTTCCTGCGTGTGTACGTGGGAGGAAACTCTCGACTCCCTCTCCCTTTTCCTCAAAGCACCTTTAAGTCCATTTATTGAAGAAAAAAAAACACAATGATTTTTCTGTGGAATAACATCCTTTCTGATCGTCTGGTTATTTTACACTACAGATCTGGTGTTTGGTTGGTTAACTGCCGCTTTCACACATGGTTATTTTGCTGCTTTGGTACAAAATCATTAGGCAGAAGTGGTGCAAGTGTACTTTGGGAAGAGATGTCAGCAGCCCTTGGTATAATCTGAATCACAGTACACACACAAAAATAACCTGTGGCCTCTCTTACAGCACAAGTCCTAATCATACTCAAGATTACCATGGCAACCAGTATCGGCTAGTTGCCTTGTTACAAACCAGAAGTGATCTGAATTGTAGATAAACTCTAAACATGCCTTACTGTCACACTAGATTATCACATTTTCTGAAGGCACTTGCATTTTGCTGATACGATGCTAAGGTATTGTGGATGGTTGCCAGGGTGTTGCTATGCAGTTGCTAAGGTGGTTAACCCCCAAATCTCTATGATATTCTGGTCTCTAGACATGACTCAGATCCCTCCTTCAATGTAAGTCTTGAAGAACATTGCATATTCAGGAATTTTGTGTAAGGGCATGGAAATTTTGCATCAGATTCAAGCTTTTCATGTGAACTTGGCACCTTGACCAACAGAAGGCTGCTTGGTGTATTCACTTTAGGTTTCATTTTCAGAATTTCTTGTTATTTAGCTTCAGGAAACCAGGATTCAATGAATTGTGGCTGTGTCTTCAGAATATCCACTTAATCTGATACCAGTTAACTACATGATCATGTGACAGATAACCTTGGTCAAACCTCATTTGGAGAAAGAACATGTACAAAGCCAGTTCACGTTAAATAAGTATGGATTTCTGTGAAACAAAAACTACCACTGAATATGAAATTTGTTAAGGACATGGTCACCAATTGCTAGGCTCAATTTTTTAAAAGGTGTAAACCAACTGATAGTTGACAGCTCCATTTTGCTGTACATAACCTCAATGACCCAAAAGCCTTCTCTATTAGTGAAAATACCGGAAGGCAAGTAAGCTATAGCTTCCTTATCAGGGAGAATGTCTGACTACTATTTTACCATCATTTTATCAGCCCTGAGGAGCTGCTGGATATGGGTGGTCATCATCCATGCAACAGTTATCTGATGTCAAAAATTATCCTGGAAATCTCTATTCTGCACACCTGCATGAGGCACACTGTAAGAATAGTATAGCTCTAAAGCCTCAGAAAAAGTAATGGCTAGCAAGCCACATGCAATCAGGGAGGATGTAATTTTACCTGCTGACAAAGCTATGGTCAGTGTTATGCTGGCAAAGAAAGCAGTTAATCAACTCTATTTGATTCTCAGTCTAATAATACAGTTTAGCACAGAATAGACGACAGAAAATGGGTTACGTCTGACTATGATGGCAAAATCAAGGATAAGTTTTCTTTTGCAAACCTTTAACAACTTATACAACAGTTTGTGGTTTCCAGCAAAGATGAGGCTCTGGTACACACGTCGCCAAGGATTGGTTGCAAAGGAAATGTCTGTGTTGGATTGAGTTGTCGTAAAGATTAACTATATCAAGTGTCACCTTTACAAACACTCCGGTTTTCATCCTTATACAAGGATATAGCGTGAACAATGCCAGCTTCCATTACACACAGAAGTGCAATAACTCTCTTATGGAAAAGTTCTCACTCACCTGTTTCATTTGCATTATGAGGTGAGAACAATTTTCATGGATTCATAGTTCAACCTTGTAGAACAACTGTATGATTTCAGCAGGCTCAGCAAATCGCTCTATACTTGGCTGACAATTTCAGGTACTTAAATGGACTGGCCACCAAGACAAAAGGCAAAGGCCAACAATGACTCCTTTAAAACTGTCTGAAGTTTGACCAAAAAAATAGAAGTAGCTTCTTTCTGCTGTAGGCCAACTACAGTCACCATCAGAATTTGAAAATTCAGCTGCAGAACTTCTTCACTGGTCTGTATCTCTGCACATCGGGATAAAGAATCCATTTGCTTGCTGCAGTGACAATGTCATTGTGGGCATCAGTTCCAGATAACCAAGGCTTTACGAAATTCTTCGATATGATGGTAAAAGCAGCCTCTGTGAAATGTTTAGGTGGTTGCTAGAGTGACGTCTTCATCTGCCAAAAAAAACTGATTTCTGTTAATTTAATAG